TACATGGATCATTTTGGGTCCTATGCAAAGAGAAGGAGGCATGACAGCGAACAGTCTGTCCTGGAGTACACAGACCTGGAGGCAGCCGAGGCGTTGGTGTGTATGAGCTCTTGGGGCCAGAGTCACTTCCTCGGCAGCAGCAGGCCGAACCCCTGCAAGCCCAGACCCCTCACACCGGCTTCAGACTCCTGTGACTCCCTCATGCCGCCAGAACTTCCAGAGCCCCCAAAGGACTTTGTGTCCCTCTCCTCCTTGGTAAGTGACTCATCCTGATGTACAGGTGTCAAACCATGGGAAAATAAGTTAGGTTCATGCAGTCGATAAGTGCATTTTCATCCACCCCTTATTATGTGCATTTTCTTGTGATGAGTTAAAACACACACAAACCTTGGAATTACTTTTGGATGATGTGGAAAAGTTGCTGTATTGACAAAAGTCTAAAGGCTACAAAGTGCGATTATAGTTTGCAAATAAAGGATGAGTTACATGAAGCATCTGACTTCAACATCCACTGAAGCTGCTGCTCCGTTTAAGAGACCAAAGATAGCTCCACATAGATCTTTGTACATTTTCTCACACACAAATCGTTAAATTATAAACTATAGTGAATGCGAACAGGCATTCATTCACAATTCAATTTGCAGGTTTTCTCAAAATGTTGTTAGAATTTGCGATATATTATGAAGAAAACCATATGACTTTTAATATGAAAGTGTAAAGATAACAAGTTTATGACATGCGGCTGGTCATGTAGTTCCTCCTCTGAGAGACAGGGTGATAAAAAGCTCTATAGCTCTTCAGGGCCCAGAATGATAATCTTTCCTGTGTTTCCCTCCCTTTCCTCTGCAGTGTATGACTCCCCCTCATAGCCCAAGCTTTGTTGAGGCGTCCAGCACTGCTGTGTCCTCACAGCACTGTTCCGGCCTCCACCAACCTGTCCTGGCACCCATTGCTGAAAAGACCCCCTCCCTCCCCCCTCAGCCACAGCCCTGCAGAGCCATGGCGACGAGCGTCATCCGCCACACCGCAGACAGCACCCCCTGCCAACACCACATTCCAGTGGCCCCCGATCCAAAGAAAACAAGACACACAGTAATGGCTGCGACACTCTACCAGCAGCACCTCATTACAAAAACTGAGCAGATAACCACACCTCCATCTCCCCCTGCTCTTCTCACACACACATTATCAGCCTCAGGAATGGAGCAGCACGCCAGTCTCTCAAAACTCTATTTGAACAGTGTCTCCACGCCCACTCCTGTCAATATGCAAATGCGGAACGGCCCCCCTGCTCCCACGACCCTGTCACCGCCCTCAATCCCCAGCCCTCAAATCATCTGCCAGATGTTCCCCGTCAGCAGCCAATCGGGTATAATCTCAGCCTTCATCCCCGGTGTTCAAACGTGCCATTCTGGGATTCGGACCACCACCACACCAATCCTCCCCCAGCGCACTTCAGTAAACGGAGCCCCCGTCCAGCAGTCCCTCATCATGGGCTCAGCGGTGCCCCAGGGCACGGTGATGCTGGTCCTCCCTCAGTCCGCTGTCTCTCAGGCCCATCACTGCCCTCAGACTGTCATGACCCTGGGCAACACCAAGCTGCTGCCCCTGGCCCCGGCCCCTGTGTACGTGCCAGCTGGGCCCAGCGGAAGTGCGGTAGCCACAAAGATGGACTTTTCCCGCAGGAGAAACTATGTCTGCAACTTCCTGGGCTGCAGAAAGACGTACTTCAAGAGCTCACACCTCAAGGCTCACCTGAGAACACACACAGGTGAGAAAAACATTGGCACTGGGTCAAGGATAGGGCAAGTGGTTGAGTAAGACTCAGGAATAATAACTGTCCAGTTTATTTTAGTGGAGGTCTATGTTTGTTGGCAGTCTCAAAAGCACCCAAGGCACTGAGTTAAAAATCCTTCATTGGTACATAGATAATAATCCTTTATCTTATCATGGGATGCTTTTCAGACTTCCAATAAACAGGTGGGGTTAACTTCATATAGAAGTGTTGAGCTTGTTTGTAACTGAGGATGTGGAATAAAACGCGACCACAGATGAGTGTTGCATCCTGTTTGTTACACTTTCTTGGCTTTGTTATTCTTGAGAGTGAGCTCATTGTTCGGTCTCCTATCCTAAAGGGTGATCTGTGAAGTTTTTATGACTGCTATCTGACTCACTTGCTGACTCCCTGCTCTCCCTGTATCCTCCCTTTAGGCGAGAAACCTTTCAGCTGCAGCTGGGACGGCTGTGATAAGAGGTTTGCACGCTCCGACGAGCTTTCCCGTCACCGGCGAACACACACCGGGGAGAAAAAGTTTGTGTGTCCCGTGTGTGACCGGCGATTCATGCGCAGTGATCACCTCACCAAACACGCTCGCCGCCACATGACCACCAAGAAAATTCCTTCCTGGCAGGCTGACGTTCGTAGCCTGAACAAGATGGCCGCCGGCAAAACGCCTGTCTCAAAGCCCGGCCTTGCCACAATCAGCATGCTGGTACCTGCCGGCACCAAGTAGACTATAATCATCCTACTTACTACCAAGATACCACAGGGACACATGCAGGGAGCAGCCAAGCACACAAGGCTGCTGCTGTTTAACTCATGGGAATGATAGAAAAAACATGCACTGGACTCTTTTTTTCTCTCTACTGCTCATTTGTACAATTTTCTTTAAAGGATTCTTTGTTTACTATGATATTAATGCACTCTTGCCAAAGCCTTTGTATGAAGTTTGTCTTATTCATTTCACTTTCTCTAGCTCTCCTGCAACACTTTCTCTTTGTTTGTGTTGATACTGATAGATATACATATATGTCTATGTGAATGTATTGTTTGTTGTACTATGAAATGCATTTATTTGTCATATTTGGGAAAACATGATAAACAATGTAAATATGAATATTAATTATCAGTACTTCGATTGTACCATAATTATATCTCCCTGTCTAACTTTTCATATTATTTAATACATATTTGTAATAAAAGAAAAATATTAAATGAGTCAATCTTTGCTGATTTTGTGACCTTTCAAATATCTTATCCGGGAACAAATAAAGTTATATTCAGCAATCTTTTACAGTTGTCTCAGTTTACAGTAAGTACGACGTTCCCACATCCTGTGTGCGTCACGCTGTGACTCCCCCACCACCGCCCTCTTTTGGTCCACTGGCTGAATGAATTTCTGTTGAAATAAACAAATCTCTCGGTGGGATCATCTGGGGACATTATTGGGTTTCAGAGCCAAATTGCTGATGAGTCAGGAGACAAGACAGACATTTGTTTTTCTTGTTTTGGAGGTAAATAACTGATCATTTAAGTCCATTCAGCACTATCACATGTGGGCTAGGAACCGGTGGGGCTGTTGCATAATACACCAGGGTTTTATTGACTTAAAATCTCTCCTAAGTCTGGTATAATTTAGCAAACTACTCATGTTCTTGTGTTTAGTGGCTACAGATAAAGTATTTATCAAACTCACTATAACAATTATAAGAATAGTTAGTATTTAAAACTAAGAAATAAAAGTAGCAATACCACATTGTAATACAAGGTTCAAGGTTCTTTATTTAGTCATATGAACATAGCTACAGTGTAGTTATGCCGATGAAAATCTTGTGTCACAGGCTTCTCCAACAGAGCAACACAAAACACAGATAAACAGAAAAAATAGAGTGCAAGTAAATAGTAATACAAAAAGAAAAATAGTTTAAAAAAAAGTGAAATAGTGAAATAGTGCAATAAGAGTCGATATGCAAGTTATTAAAATAGGATATAGGTAAATAGATCAATCATTTTAAAATAATTTTTAAGTAGCAGCCAGATTAATATTAGGGATGTTGTTTCAACTGCTCAGGTGTTTAACAGATTTTGCTTCAACATTTCAGGTGTATACTACTGTGAATCCAAAACTGAATATAATATAATGTAATTTAAAATATAATTATTTGCTGGACAGGTGTATAGTAATAGTAAAATATCAACGGATGTATTTTAGTAAATGTGTATGCATAACAATACAAATGAAAGGATATGATTGTCCTTTTCACAGGTTCTATCTTTTACAATCATTTTTCTACAATCATTAGGGCCAAAATGCAGAGTTATAAAGGTTTTCAGCCAATACAAATAGGGAAAAATCTGTGGAAATGTTGTAAAGTAAACAATAACAATAAAAACGTTAAGATGCTGCTATAGAGCAAAATGCGTTTCTCTCTGCTACTGATGCTGCTCATTCATAAGCACTGTGGTCCCATACCCCCAGTAACAGCACACCTCTCCCAATCAGACAGGGAGAAATATCAACTATTGGGGGTGCGACCAATCAGCTCTCTTCCCTGCACACCAGCCTCTCCCCCTTGCCCTTACTGACCGACTTCCCCAATGCATGCATGCAGCCTGAGCGCTGCCCTACACTGACATCTGCTGGTGGGTTTCTTTCATTTAAACATGTACACAACATTTTACAAGAAGTGGTTCAGGTTTTTCTTATATTTGTGTTTTATGCCTTCGTTATAAAACACAAATATCCAGCCCAGTAACAAAACAAAAAATTATGCAACACGACTAATTAGATAATATTAAGTGAGAAAACAATACAAAATAAGGAAATAGGTCGCAATTTCTATAACTAATTGAGACTAACTAAGACTCAGAGACTGCACATTAATTTAAAATGACACTTGATAGGTGCCATTCTAGCAAAAAACATGCAACTGACGAAAATGTACCAGTGTAGTTATCTAACTTAAGTAAAATCATCTTTCAAAATACAATTTTTTAAAGTATCATTTTCAAGTTGCATGACAAATATGTTTCATACAATTGTCATCAAATTATTCCAGTAATTGTGTGAAAGTGTCACCATGCAGGCTACAGCCACCAAAACAATCGTTTCTCGCGGACACATTTCCCTGTAGCACCTATCGCGTTGCTATGGATACATCGACACAACTGGGACCGTTTGTTGCCAACAAGAGGTAACAGGAGATAAAATACATGTAAATTGACATAAAGCGACATCAAACTGTCAATTTCTCTGCGATAATAGCTTGTAAAACTTTTTCGATTTCTATTTATAAAAGTTTAGTTTAAGAAAGCTGTGTTGCTGTTAACTTCATCTGCGTCAATATTACTCCTCGAAACAGTCAACATGGCGGCTGTAGACAAGCTGAAAGAACTAAACATCACCGTGGATGAAATCGACAGACTGTCAAAAGCTTTCAAAGACGAGAAATTCAAGGAGATGCTGTTCGATTACGCCCATGAGTTATCAGACCCTGAAAATAAGAAAAGGTATGAAGAGGAGATCAAACTTCTGGAGCAGGAGAGAGGAAACACGATTGAATTCATCCACCCGAAACCGTCCAGGGTTCTCAAGACGAGTGTGAACGGCAAGCAAAAGTGTTTTATCAATATCTGCAGCAATGACAAAGTTGGGAAACCTGAACGTAAATGGGGGGTGTCCGATGAAGGGCGCAGGGGACAATGCTGGGCCCTGCCCCACAGTCTGCACCCAGGGAAGCAGGACACAGATCCAAAGGGGAACAAGATCATGATCTATGACGTCATCTTCCATCCTGACACTCTCCACCTTGCGAGCACAAACAGAGGATTTACCAATATGGTGGACAGCACAGCCATTCAGGGAATCCAGGATAATTTTAAAGTGACTCTGGATAAAAACAACGTGAGGGAGATCAAATCAAAATACAAAGGCCTGCCACAGCCCTGTGTCATCCGAAAACCCATACCTGGTTATAAAATGCCATCAGAGGAGCCAGACCCTCTTGCATTCCCATACCCAGATGAAAAGAGACCTACCCCGCAAACTAAGCCCACAAAATCACCTGCATCAAAAAACATAAACGAGGCTACACCTAAAAGCATCCCGCCTCAGAAAGTCAAAGAGCCTACAAAGCCAAACTACACCGTTAAATATCGATCGTTTACGGATATACAGGACTTCAGATATGCTCGAGACTCGGCCCAAAGCCCCAGGCCCAAAGAGATAGTGGTTACCATCGACATGCCTCTTCTGAAGGCCGCCACAGAGGCCAGCCTCGAGGTGAAAGAGTGTCGGCTGATGCTGCTGGAGTCCAAGAAACCAGCCTATAGACTGGAGTTGCCCTTAGCTTATCCTGTGGATGAAGATAAAGGAGAGGCCAAGTTCAACAAACAGAAACAACAGCTCACAGTCACACTGCCTGTTCTCCCTTCTAAGGAAGCTTTTGATTTTCATCTAGGGCCTGCTCAGAGTAGTATTAGTGATGATGAGAGGCAAGAGGAGAATACTGAGATGGAAGAGGAGGAAAAATGCATTGAGGAGGATTTGAGAAACCAGACAAGGGAGGAGGAAGTTGAAGGAGAGAGAGGTCAGGAGATAGGAGAGGAGCAGATGAGCGAAGGCCAGGAATCTGTAGGAGAGAAGGATACGTGGAGAAAGCAGAAGAGGGAAGGAGAAAATACTCAAGAAGAGGAAATCAGTGTGGAGGAGGAGGCAGAATGCAAAGAAGTGAAAGAAAAAGGCCAAGAAGGTGTGGTGGAGGACAAATTGAAAAAGCAGAAGGAAGAAAGTCTAATAGAAGTTGGAGACTTTAACCTAGAGAAAAATGAGACCCATGGAGATAAAAATGAGACCCATGGAGATAAAAATGAGACCCATGGAGATAAAAAGGATCCCGTTCTTACGGGTTTTGAGGACGACACTGTTGATGCTTCTGCTGAAGGAGAGAATGCATTACCTGTGGAGGACGAGCTTGTGGCCTCACCTGAAACAGAAAACCAGCCTGTTTTAATCCCTGCTGAACATTCAAGATCCATAGGAACAGAGGGAGGAGTACATCAGAATTCTTGTTTGGAGTCACCACCTAAACTGAAGACTTCAGACATCAACACGGCGACTGAAAAGAAAAATGATCATGTAAATGGAGATGAGGTGAGATAAATCCTGACACATCCCCAACAATCCTATTGACCTGAAGGTAAAAAGTGTGTGTGATCAAACTAATCTGCTTATGTAGTTTTATATATCCTTGTTTTTTTCTTAAGGTGGAAGATGCGTCATTTCTATATGACAGATCCGGTGAGGAATCCCAAACCTTCTTAGACGCTAACGCTGAAAACAACATAAAGGGGTGCGACATTCCCCAGGAGTCCAGCGAGATGCCTGCAGCAGAGGAAGCAACCAAGTCAAGCAGAGGAGATTCGGAAGACGGTGCCCCCCGCTTCCCTGAGGAATCGAGGGGGGGCGTGGATGAAGACGACCTGCCGACGGAGCAAATCTTCCGGCCTAAGAGCAGGACACCACCTGCGTTATTGAGGGAGATTGATGAAGATGGGAATGAAACGGTCATCAGCGATCATTCCACATCTGCTGGGTTCATCTTTCAAAACTCCCTGATGTTTGAGCTGGACTGAGGAGAGTGTGCAAAAGTTTTGTAATGCCAGTATTTATAGGGAATCTGCAGTGTGTCGAACAATAAAACATCTTCATATTTTCAATACCTGACCTTACTCTTCAGTATTTTAATGTATGACAAATTCATCTCTTCCCAGAAAAAACTACTTTGGACAAAAAGTTGTTACTATTATTTTATTAAATTCACATTTATATAAAAAAGGGTGGGTTGTAATAAACAGTAAAACCAACTCCCATCGGCTAACACTCACTGACTTTGAGGCACTGTGTTCAGGAAAAATATCTAATTTCTTTATTCCCCTGCCGAGTAGAAGTAGGCCAAGTAGGAGAGTGCAGTTTGCTTTAACGGGCAGATGACACTTTAACTGTCACTTTGTGTCAGTGCTGCTGCCCACTATCATTATATAAACTCAGTGCCTCTCAGTCACAGATGGAGCAGGTAGCTGGGAACTGCATTATAATAGAGCGTTAGTGTTATAACCCTCTTGAAGCACTTTTAAAAAGCAAAACAGAGTCAAAATCCACTTAAAAGCAGAAAACGAAAACTGTATCCTCCAACAGTATCTCAAATCCAAAATCCACAGCAGTTTTGGTGTGTCCAAAAAAAGAGTTTGTTCTTCATCATCTGATTCCTCTCTGGAGGGACTTGTCTAAAAACTCAGAGTAGCAGGATAGGGAGCAGAAGTACTGCTGCACCGGAGCATCTGTGCCCCCCATGTCGTCCACCAGGACCACCGTGTGGGACACCTGGTGCAGGTTCATGCTGACCGCCGTCTTGATGAAGTAATTGAGGCAGACACGGCCACACTCGCAGGTCTTCGCTACTTCCAGGTCCCGACACAGGTGGGCCGGGATGAGGTGAGGTCCGTATGGTAACCTGAGAGGAGAGTAAACAAAAAAACAGTTAAGAGTTATCTGTAGGTATAAAAAATGCAAAGCTCAACATTTCTGAAATTGTAGAGGCACCTTTACATAAAAAAAGTAAGAGATTAAAGATCAAGCAGTAACTTTACAAGAAAACACTTTTTTGATGAGGTTATTTAGAATCAGAATTCCTTTACTCGTCCCACAGAGGGGACATTTACATTTGTTACAGCAAGTAAAGAGACAAATATAGCTTAGTATTAATTAAGAAGCATGCATAAAAATACTAAGATAAAAGTAGAAATTACACAATTTGCATAATACACATCCGGTACCAGTAACAGTTTTTGAAATATAGCAGCCAGGTGAAAGTATTAAAGGTGGAAGTATATATTGCACATTTACGGTATATATATATTGCACATAAGTGGTATTCCACAACAGGGGTGTTTTATGAGTGGGGGGGGGGGGTCTACCAGGGGCCATGATGGTTGAAAAGTAAAGTTCCAACCTTGGAAATATTAGCACTGTGGTTAAAAAAAACCTCAAGTCGTTATTTTAAATACATTTTGACTCTTATTTTTGTGAATTTTAACATTTTCTCTCTCACAAATGTATGATTAACCTCGCAATATATTCAAAAAAAATTCCAGTGAATATGTGACTCTAATCTTGGAGAATACACAGAAATGTCAGAGTCATTCTCTCTAAATAATACCCCTTCCCCTGACCCCTATTTAAACATACAAATATAGATCTTTAAATCTACAGTGGCCCTAATGCGTACAAAGAGTATGACATACTGAATATGTTCAATTCTCACCTGAGGTTGGCCACAGCTCTGGTAGCCAGCTCTTGCAGTGGAAGGGGGAACGTGAGTTTCATGGTGTGGTCCAGAGGGTTAGGTTGGACAAACGGATTTCCAAACAGGTCCAGGTTTTCCAGACTCAGCTTACGGAAGTCACCTGGCAACACAGCTAGCTGGTTATGCGCCGCGGACAGGAACCTCAGCGAGGAGAGCCGGCCCACGTGGAAGGGCAGACAGACAAGCTCGTTGTCGTCCAGTTTGAGGTTCACCAGTTCTTTGAGCTGGCAGAACTGAGCGGGGAGGGAGCGCAGGCGGTTCTGGCTGAGGTCCAGCAGCTGCAGGGTGCGCTGCAGCGTGGACAGGCAGAGCGCCTCGCTGAAGGCCTCCAGGTGGTTGTTGTGCAGGATGAGCTCCGAGAGGCAGCCCAGGTCACCGATGGTGGCGGGGAGTTTCTTGATGTGGTTGTTACTAAGGTCAAGCTTCCGGAGAGCTGCAAAAACAAAAATACCACAACTTAAAGGTGGGGTAGGTAAGTTTGAGAAACCGGCTCGAGATACACTTTTTGTTATATTCCATGGAATGCTCTTAACATCCCGATAGCAATGAATATCTTAAGTGCTTTGATAAAAAATCCATAAAAAAATGTCATCTGTGGAAGCCGTAGTACTGTAAAAAGCACGACCAATCATTTTAGCCGGGCCGGCTAAAATAACTGGATGGCCTACCTGCCTGTCAGCCTTCCATCTGTGCACAAACTTATCTCGTGCCCTCATTGGTCATGTGCGCGTTCGTGTGTGTTGGAGGAGGAGGGGCTCTGTAAGGAAGTGGCAGATTTTTTCCGGTTGTGTATTTTCAAATTCCAGCGCACTCGAGCTGGTTTCTCCAAAATGACCTACCCCACCTTTAAGAAGGGCAATCAAGTTATATAATTTGCATTTACATAAAGTAGCATTTTTTTAAAGAATGGCAACAGTAATTGAGACAATCAAATGTCTTCCCCAGGAGGAATTGATGTGTGCTGCTCTATGTATTGTATCTTGTTGTGGGAAAAACTGAAAATCTAAATAAACATATTGCTTTAAAAATAAAAATAAATCCTACATTTGTCACTATGCTAATCATCAAGATCACTTTCCCAAACTTCCAAAAGCTTCTTCCAGTGACTAGACAAAACACAACCATTGTCAAAGAATATGTAGAAACTATGATAACTACTGTAAACTGACCTCATTGGCTAAAATAGGGAAATAGCCCATTTAACATTTTCCATAAAAATAATTTGTGCATAAACAGAATGTAAATCGAGTTTTATCAAACTCAATAGGCATAAATATATTTGTTTGTGTGACCCGATCGCCTTACTCTACCTTTCAGGGACAGCATCCTCATGTCCACGCGGGACAGCTTGCAGTAGGACACCTGCAGCTGCTCCAGAGAGTAGGGGAAGCTGGAGGTGAGGGGGTAGTCCTTTTTGGAGACGATGCTGAGCTTCTTCTTGGGTTGCTCCACATCTCTGGCACGAACAGGAGTGAGCGTGGAGAGAGGAAGGCTGCTGGCGTCACTCCCTCTGTCTGCCAGACGAGCAGCTGATAGGAAGTTCTTTAAGCTGTTTGCATCAGCCTGCAAATAAATAAATACATTAACTAACATGTGGATTTGTAGGTGAGAAACACAGCACAGGTTCTCAGGTAGTCTTGTATGACCGGATTCCTGAAAATACCTGACCTATTTTCCTGTAATCTATCTTGACACACTTACTTTAAAAGAACATTATGTCTGCTAAACTAAATTCCCTTTTAACATTATGTATACAATTGTGAGTGTCATGTTAACATTTAACATTCAACACTTATTTCATGTTTGGAAATGTAAACTCTGGGCTTTTTGAGGAATTTGAAATCATTAAATGTTTTGTTTTTTATCTCAAGTCAACCTTTAATAAGAATTCCCAATAAATGTGATACATTATTGTTCAAAATGTTATTATGCTATGGTCAGGACATGTTATTACAGTATTAGCCTAGCTATCACATTACTGGGTTTAATCCTGATCTGGTTAGGGGACATTTTTTGAATATTGCCACATATGTGGGTGATACAGTGTGTTAATTCAAAAGTATTTATGTACGTATTTATTAAGTAATTACATAATTTCCCACTGTTTGGGAACCAGTTTTCTCTGTCTACCTGCATAAAGTGGCATTAGTCTGTTTGTGGGTGTGTGCGTGCTCTTCATTCAACACGGCAGGTTGAAATATGTTAGAATCTAGGCGAAAGGTCACCGCTGACCTCAAAACAGCCAGGAGGGCTTTACAGCGACTGAGAACAATGAGGCTGCATCAACAACCCAGTCACAACAACCCGATGTGCCTGTCTGGTGATAAATGAGCGAGTGGACAAAAAACAACAACCGGTCTTCACTTGTAACAACCTTTAAAATGTAGTTACAACATGTTGGATGGCATACCTTGCTCAAACAAATGTCCACAGCTGGTTCCTTTATTCTCACAGTGGCCTTGCCTTCCTCCACAAACCAAGTGAAGAACTTCTCTATGTTGTCTTTCAGCTGCAAGAGAAAGTTGGCAAATGTCAGTGATAGAAAATACATGACACAACAACGAGAGAGCTTTTCACTGTCTCAACAAGTGCAGACAAATACTGAAAGCTTTGAACAAGATGGTAAACATGCAGGTGTTTGTCTTGGCAGCTGTGAGATTTAAATTGAGTACTCGAAAGCAATGTTTGAGACAGTGAAAATATACTCTTAGGGTTTTTAATCCATGTCTTTCTGGGAAAGATAATGATGAATAATATAAAAATTAGCTTTATCATATGACACATGGGGTTGAGTTAATGAAACCAAAATATATAATCCAAGTTACTGCAATGTGTTGTGTGACACATAAAAGCAATGCTTCTGATTCTGTCCATTTCTTTTATATGTGCATTGTTCGTCTGCTGTTGAGCCCTGTCAAAGGGGAATAGTACTTGCTTTATGACAGACAATAAAGTTTAATCTTATCTTCTACCCAAACAATGCTCTTTAAGTCAACCACTGGCTGATTCAGGCAAATATTATCATTCTGTTTAAAAAAGAAAATGTCCTGTCAAATGCATGCTGGGAAGGGGTTTCAGTCCCCTTCCTGGATGGATGGACTACATAAACATACCCTAAAAATAACAAGAACTTATAATTATTGGAAAGAATACATGTAAAATAAACATTCTTTTACAATACACAAAAGAAAAATTCACATTATATTTCACATGCAGCTTTTGTTTTGGTACTTCTACCCCACTTCAAATCACAGGTAAATCATGTACTTTTACTCTACTAAATGTATTTAGTTACTTTTGTTTAATGATTTGAAATATAATATATTTTAAAACTTAAATAAGACTTAAGTAAGTGACACCTAGAGTAACATTCACAAAAGCTACCCTGCAGTAGACAAAGTAATAAAAACTAGCTGCACCTTTACCAGCTTTGATAACACTCTAATTCATTAATAATTACAATCAAAACATGTAACTTATATTATTCGGAATGGGAATGTTGATGTATATTTGATGGTTATACTGATGCAGGACTTGTACTTGTAACAGAGTATTCCTACACTCTGGTACTTCTACACAGTCCAACATCTGATTACTTCTTCCATCTCTGGCAGCATCCTCACAGTTCAGACAGAGATCAGCAGACACTGACCTTGTACTTGGAGCCTGCTCTGTCTTTCGCTGTGCAGATCATCATGTAGATGTTGCTGCGATGACTTGTCTTATCCACATGTTTCCCGATGGACAGCACCGCTCTGACCCCCTTCCCTCGGTTCCTAATCCCAAACGAGGGGAGCATCCGATTCACCACCTCCACATCACACTGCAGCTTCATCGCAACCGAAGACTTAATACAAAACAAACACTTAAAGGTCCGGCCTAAAATGCCGAGTCAGAGGAGATGTGTTAAATGCATACTGGAGAAGAAACAGAAACTTCCGCGAAATAAGTAACGTCATGGAGTTTAGAGACACATCTTCACGGATGTCAACAACAACCAGAGCTGGCGCGTCTCTACCGGACAGCAGCAGCTCCTGGACGCCCGTGAAGATACGACATACAGCGGGGACACTTTGAGGCTTCACCGGGCAGCTACCGGGAGCCTGTCGGTATCTTGACGGAGAGTAAAAGCTGTGGGACAGGTCTCCGTTGGCAGTTGGCTGCTGGTTAGCTACCGTTAGCATGATCGGGCGCGCGCAGGAAGTGACGTCATGGAATAGCTGGTTAAACTCTTTATATATACAGTCTATGGTTAAACTCAGCGCGGGATCCGTTAGCAGGAAAGGGAAAGACAGACGTGTTTTTAATGGACTAAAAGGGACTATAGACTTTATTTACTCATTCACTGTAGGACTGTACAATGTTGTTGTACTAACATGTGTATTTACAATATACTTAACTACATTTCCAAGGCTTTACTCTTTTGTTAGTTTTAACAATTATATGAACAAAATGAAGAAAAATACCGACTATTATTATTATTATAACAACAAACAAATAAACCAACAAAAATAAATAAATGTGTCAGTGACTTATTCAGACCAATGTCTGGGTATATTTGAGTGACTGACATAATTGTTTAGTCACAAATGTAAGATAATCAAAAGTAACAATTACAATTCATATCTTATACACATAATGGATTTGTATTAATATTTTTGAAACAGTAGTTTCATATACTGTATGATATAACATTCTTCAATTAGTTTGGTCTGGTGGCCTGATATCTAAAAAACAAAATGTCTTGTTTCATATTCACTTTTCGGTTTGTCTATCTATACGTTTATATATATTTTGAAATCGTGAACATAAAAATATGTCAGGTCCCAGAGAATGGTGACGACTTGCCTAACCAGAAAAAGGGGGATTTGAGATGTTATTCACAAAAACATGTTATACTTCTTCTCTTCCCTCTTATTTTGTATTTACATCCTGTATGTTGCCCAGATGACACTCAAACAACACGCTTTAAAGCTTTTGATTTCATAAATGGTTTATTTAAACCAACAACCCTCCGTCTAACAACAATGGAAAGCTAAGGTTTGTCTGAATGTCAGTGTTTCTTTGTAGTTGTACATTTGTACTTGAGTCTGAGTGTGTCTGACATCGTCTCCTCACATCAAAGATCACAGGAGAAACTTATCTCACTCCTTCCAATTCATCTTCAGTATGAACACACACAAGGATGTGCATTCGTTAGCAACATTAAACTAAAATAAAAAAACGTGCCACATGCAGTGATATAAATTATGCATTTCATTAAAGTGAATTAAACCCCCACAATCCTGTCCTGTTAGATGACTCATCATACTATTTCATATTTTTTCGCATTTGAAAGTGCTTCCTTCAATCTGACAGGGTGCAGTAAACTTATAAACAAACAATCATTTTTGAGAATTTTTTTATTGCTTACACTTTGACATTCTTTTCATGTTCTCACTCATAAATGAAAGCATTGGCTTTTTAATAATTTCTATGAAAAAACTAAACAGAATACATATGTCTTTGGTTTCACTATTAATCAACTAAAAAAGACAATACATTTAGTAACAACATGCAACTTGTCTTTGTTCTTCTTCTAGTCTGAGATATGCCTCTAAGTTGCACACATCTTACACATATAAAAACACAAACATAGTCAATGTAGGAACTGGTTAAGATTTGCATCATGTGTTTTTTCAGAAATATAAGAAAACAGTGGGATGCAGGCGTCGTGCATTTTTCATGTATCAGTGTTGTGTGCACCATTTAGTCAAGTTTTTATTTTTGTCATCATACACACTGTAGTGTGAGTAGATAGAGTGTAGCTGCTACAAAGGGTGTATGACAATGCAGAGGTGATTTAGATACATATGGACATGTGCAATTCAATACTCTGACCTTTTGGTGACTTTGTTAAAAAATAGAGGTTTGTATTTAGAAGAATAGTTTATATTGCTTGTAGTGGGGTTTCATGAAGTACTTATCAGTACTATTACCTAAGTATTACCTACAGAAGATGGCAGAGGTCACACCCCCAGTTGGGAGAAACAGGCCCACCTGATAACATCAATATCAGTATAAGTGAACAATATATTTTGAGTAGTTTCAGCGCTTAACCTGACTGCCCTTTCAGGTGAAGAACAGAAGCCGTCGTCCATGCCCTCTTCAAGGCCACCAAATGTAAGTGACAGAAACAACACATTTACCTCGCACAACACAGGAGTTGTTGGGCAACAACTGCCTCGATTGGTTAGTAATTCGTATTATTGTGTAACTTTGGTTAATTTAGATTGACTAAAGTCACCCAATAACAGACTGACCGACAGTTACTATATAAAGATGTATATTATATTCTATGTAGTCTATGCCAGCATAGACTAGTCTGGTGGCTTTAAAGAGAGAAAAGATAACAGCTTCAGTTACCTGTAAAAAAGGGCAGTCGCCGGAAAGGTAAAGGGGTACAAAATATTCTATATGATTATTTTAGTTGGCTTAAATATGTTTTGATACTGGCCCTAACACAACAGTTGGCTAAATTGCTTACATTTTGGGATGCTACTCTGTGCCGACCCCATCTACTGTAGCTAATACACTCTGTGTGAATTATTCAATCGTACAACCCTACGTCCAACAATCAAAACTATCACCTTGAACCTTTTTTATATGTGGAATTTTTTGAAACAGCTCCATAAATCAAAAATGTCATTCTGTCTATGGAGCAAACATGTGAATCCATCTTGGCTCATCAATAAGTGTCCTAGTGTCCTTCACAGATCCGTCTCTACAAAGGACGACCCTCTTCGTATGTAATATCGCCTCACTTCCCTCCCGTCCTCACCCCCACAGCCCTCAGGCCTATGCACGATGAGCACAGGGAAGAAGCGGGCGTCCCTATAGGTGGGCGGACTGTCGCTGAGGGCCAGCTGGCTGGAGTCAGACCTGCAGCACGGCTCCTCCACGCAGCAGGGGTCCGTCAGGTTGCTGCTGCGGCTCCCCCACAGAGCCACGGTGCGGTGGGAGCCGTACATGCGGCAGAGAGAGAAGCGGGAGGTGTCCGAGGAGAGGTGGGAGTGTAGCAGCGCTCCCCGGCAGGAGAAGATGGAGGAGCAGCTGGAGCTGGTGACGAACCTCCTCCTTCCTCCTCCATCACCTCCTTCAGTCGGCTCCCTGCATTGCTCGCAGTCCTCCTGGCTTTGCAGGGCACCGTAACTCTGAGCAGTCTGGCTGCCCTCGAGGAGGAAGCAGTTTGAGGAGGAGTTGCATTCAGTGTCTGGTAAGGAGTTAGAGTCGGCTGTGCTCATGTTTATCAGTACAGCCTCAGAGTAGCTAGGGATCACCTGGCGGTTACAGCGTATGTGCCACTCCATCTCAGTGCTGTCCAGGGTGTCTACTCTGGGAATAACACACCCAGTATTAGGCCTGTCTTCATCGAGAGGAGACGGGCTGTACTCTAACCCGAATAGTTTCTCTATGCGGTAGTGCACATAGGCAGTGCGGTACTCTATCAGCACTCTCAGAGGCCACGACAGCATGAGCAGAGCTGCCAGCCAGAAGGCCACCTGCGAGCTGTACCAAGGCAACCGGTCAGGGTCCACATAGGCTATCAGGTTTTCTCTGAAGTCCACGTTCTTCAGCTGCATGCCCTCCCTGGCCTCCATGTAATCGTCCAAACCCTCGATTTCAGAGAAGAACCTGGCTCTCTGGTTGAGGTAATCGTTTTCTGGCCCGGCCTCTGTGAAGCTGAAGCATTTAGTGAAGCGCAGGCGAGTCGCCGGAAGTCCCTCCAAGCCCATGAGGTCACGTGACACATCTTTCATCCCGCAGCGGCCAAAGTCAAACTCCCCCTCGGCCACATGCGTGTTCACCCTCTCATGGTACACCTGCATGGTGGTGTAGGCGTCTCCATTGCGATATCGAGTGACCTGACGGGTCCGACGGACAAAGTGGTAGCTGATGGCCTTCCACCAAATGCAGGGTTGGGCCTGTCTCATGTGCAGCACGCGCTCGTACACGCTGTCCACGTCTGCTTTGCTCTGCAGCTCGCTCCTCGCTCTGCAGTGCCAGCACTCCACCATGTATAAGACGTAGAGCATGAGCAGGAAGGCCAGAGGGATGTAGATGTAGCCGTCAGAGCAAGGGCTATCATGGTAGATCATTGAGTGTCCGCTGACACCCATCCCAGAGGCGCCCCGCAGGGAGGAGGTGAAAGAGGCCGAGAATGAGGAGGTGAGGGCCGAATTGAAGCTGATTTTGGTGACCCGGGTCAGCTGGCACCAGGCCACGGCGCCCAGGCAGCTGTACATGAGCAGAGAGAGCAGCAGGCAGCGCCAATGGGACTCCCGGCACACACAGGCACCGAGGGATTGCTTCACAGGACGTTGCTGCAGAGAGAGAAAGAGTAATGAGGAAAAGGCACTCAGAGCAATGAGGCCATTAAACCTGGCGACGACAAGCTGTAGAAATGCAAATGAACGGGGCAGCACTGGCCAGGCTTTCCCATACCTAAGCATAAAGTAAATCAAAATAAAGAAAGCGCAGTGGAGTTCAACCACGTAGTGTTCCTGGGAGGCTGTGAGTCAAAGCAGCCGACATAAATAAACATTCACTAAGGTGTTTTCACACATCTATCTCTGAAATTAATTGAATTTATATTGCCTGTGGGAGAAATGTACTACTACATTTGACACAGTAATATTCCAGGGTAACACTATAAAACATCATCATTAAACCCTTCGAAATGAAAACCCAATGGTAGAAATTAATCATGCAACTAATTCAATATTTCTATTATCGATGTTTCTGCAGATTGTTTACTAGATTCATCAATTAATGTCAGAAATAGTGAAAATGTCCATCACAGTTTTTGCCCAATATTATGTATTTTCAAATTTCATTTTGACTCAAATGTATTGACTCATACTTAACTTAACTATATCTCATTTGAGCTATCTCTGGGCGTTCTGCTGCATACGTAGTCTTTTTTTATATTTTCATAAAAATATTGTATTATTTTGACTTAAGTAAAATTTGAAATACTATTGCACAGCATGTTCTTTATGTACATATGTTTTTATTGGATTTTCTGCTTATGTTGTGGGCTTTTTCGTCTTTTACCCAATAAATAAATGGTAATATTTCTCCCAGCACAGCTTAAAACAAACACACATGTTGAAGTATTCAGATTTTTTTCAAGCATCTCTGCTCTACACGTATCTGCTGAGTATTTGGTGGATAGCTCGGGGCAGAGAAACAGAAAGTGCTCACACTTGCAATACTGACCGCAAGTTTAATTGTCCCATTCAGCAGAGACACACTTGCCTAAAGCTATTTAATCAGTAACACTAACTGTAAAATACGCTAGTGTGTAACCCTTTATGATTACAGAGATCAAAACATTGCAACATTTAATGTGTGAATCTTCAAGGAGTCTAGTTTAGGAATTCAAAATAAATGTGATCCCACCTTCAAACATTTTTTTCTCCAAACGACTATGATATTCTTTGATATTTTGTCCTGATCTTGTGGTGGCCATGGCCCTCATGATATCCTGTGTTCTTGTTGGCTACCTCTGGTGTTTTATGGAATGAAGCAATTTATGCTGACAACCAGCCCATCCATTACTGCGCTGACACAGGGGTGGGATGTCTCTTTGCTGGTTCCACCTCGCTTATTTATGGGGAAAACAGGGATGCATGTCTTTAGAACCAGAGGATGGACTTTCCAGTTGTCCAGGCTTTCTGACTACAGATTGGACAGATTGTAACACTGTTAGATGATGTTGTTTTATCATGTTTGTAAGTGCAAAACTCGCCCTTCAATTTAACGTTAAACTAATTTAACTAAATATGCGGGTAGATGCATATCTGCAGTATAACATAGGAATTAGCAGTTACATGGACACTGGATCTGATGTAAGACAACTCGTGCTCTCTTACTATCTGTGCATGGCTGGCTGCACAGAGCCAGTCCCCCAGATGGAATCAAAGTAATAACTCTGTGACAGTAAAGTCTGAGGGCATGAAGGAGCAAACACAGACATGCATCTAAAGATCAACACTTAAAATCATGGATATGACTTTGTAAATACAATATTTGCAGCTTAAGAACTCTCTTTAGGAATAAAGTGCATGCATTATGAGAATATCTTTCCATGGATTCTAGTGTCACTGAAATGGATTATTCTCACAAGCAGAGAGGCTGTTTGGCTGCAGGTGGAAGGTTGCACTGAGAGGATGTCAATAAAGGATTTATGTTTCAAGAGGACACAGAGATCAGAATGCATAGGATATAAATCCAAATTCGGAAGGAATGTTATACAATAAGCTTGATGAACTTGCATCTTCAATTGGGCTTATTTGCATTGCACAACAACAATGTTTATGGATCAGAATGTATTGTAATTATTAAAAGTAATCAATTGATCAGAACTATTCATAGCTGATATTTCAAAGGCTTTTGTTCAAAATTCTAAATGAACGTGAGGTATGTGTACACCTACCTCCTCCGGGACATCACTCTCTACCGGTGAGTCCTGCTCATCCTCCTGCTCCTCTTCCTCAGCCTCAGTAGGAGCATCGTTGACCGCCGTGTCCTCCGCAGAGTCCGGATCGGAGGAGAGCATGCTGCACTTTTTCGCATGTCAGAGACAGATTATAAACTCACTCCTTTTTCTTCACTTGCACTAGCTGTCTTGCTCCCCCTTTGTGCGCCCCCTTCAGCTCCACGGCGTCTGGGCCGGAGCCAGCGGGCTGCTGCTGCTGCACGGAGCGGGGGTCCCGCGGTGGTCCCGCCTGGCCGGGCACAAGGGGGCGGGGTTGAGGGATTTCACCGCAGCAAAGACAGCAGCAGTTAACCATGTCGGCGAGGCTTGTTGTCAGTGGCCAGTTTAAATTACCTAATTACATCCATACATTACTGCACAATGTTCATCCAGATGCACGAGCGTTTTCCAGTGTCCCGGAGTAGAGAGATGAAGGATGTGGTTAAACCTACGCGTTACACGACATAAAATAGCGACGATTCGTTAAGATGTTCACCGAAAATGCAGATAAAAGGCGTATGCTTTCTAAGACATAAAATGACCTAAGAATATTTAGGAGAAGGGGGTTGTAGAGGAAAAATGTCGAGGTCGCTTCGCCTTCCTGTCTGTCTATCCTGGTGGAGCTTTTGTTTTGAAGGTGCAGCGTGGTGTCACATTAAAAATCTTCCGTGTTGGTTAAACGAGAGTTGTGTATCACCACGGAACCAGCACTCAACTGAAGGTTAGCTTGCACAAATGTTACATATTTTAACACAACAAAGACGTCAACATTTTAATAAAAATGTTTGGTGTTGAGTTGGATAACTTTAGCTTTCGCTGAGTGAGGTTTGAGATTTCAAGCTAACGTTAAATGTTCCGTTCAGCCCCGGTGCGTGCTGATGTAAACTAACCTACACGTGAAAACGGGAAAGCAACATTAAACAGGTAGCTAGTGAGCTAATGTGAGATATAAGTAATTTATTTGTTTAAGTAGTTAAAGTCGGTCGTTTTCTGTCATTTGTACGCTCCTAGATAACGTGAGCTACGCTTAAGATTATTAGCCATGCCTAATGCATATTCTCACGTTACCCAAAAGTAGAGAGATAAGTTAATATTGAATTGACAGTATTTTCTTAAAATGATGGTGTTCAATATGCCAGAATGGAATTCAAATGTCTATGTAACAGGGGCGTAACACAGTTATTTTGTGGGCAGCTTTGGGCCCCTAAATCATCACAACGTATCACTCCTATATCCTATACTACTATACTCGTGTCAAAGTATGTTTCCTCCACTGTAACGGCTTAGGTCAGGTAATGCCAAATGTTGGAGAGGTTGGATTCATGTACCAGTATAGAGAGACACAAACGGATAGGGGAAATTAGAGTTTGTCAAAAATATGTCTTTATAATCATCTTTTGTGTCTTTCAGAGTGATGTTGCGGCGTCCCAAGCCAACTGACTCTGAGGCAGACGTCCTCAGAGATCAGGAGAAGTTTCTAACCTCTGGTGCTCCGTCTGCTGCCAGTGTGGTCCGCCGTCCTGACAAGAGGAGAGGAGAAGGAGGAGGGGAGCATAACGGGAAGAGTGATGAAGAAAGACAGAAAGATGTTGTCACTATAGAAGGTAAGAGATCGGTCTGTTTTAAAAATACTTGTAACAACTCATTGACAATGTTCCTTAAACTCTAAATGAGGCATGGTAGTAGTCAACATTAATAATTTACACACTTCTCCGAGTGGACTATATCTATCAATCAAACTTTTTTTGTACACCATATATACCGATACATACAATTATTTAAATGTCTTCTATGTTTCTTCAAGATCTTCCAGACGAACTCCCGTCTCTGACGCCAGCCCCTCCGAAGAAGTCTCGCTTCAAAACTGGTTGTGTTACTTTTGAGGATGAGGATGCTGGGGAGAGGCTGGACAAACATGACACTCACGTCACCGCTGTGCTCTCCAGGATCGTTGTAAGTACCTGTTGTTAAATATGAGAGTGGGAAGTTTAAATCAGTGACTGTATGCTAAATGAAATAGCCTATTTTCTCTGTTGGACATATTTAGGTATACATACATACATCCAGTTTGTCCCTTACACTTTGTTGAACTGCTTTTGTCAGTTATCCAAGCTGGCTGATATCATGTTTAGCTTGACAGTTTGAAATATCATAATGTTTTACTGGCCGAATCAATAACATTATTATTTGTTTTCAGGAGAGAGATACCAGCTCGACTCCAATATCTCTACCAGCATTTACAGGCCTGGCTTTCCCCAAAGTAATGCACCGCTCAGAAAACAGCTGTCAGGTAAAAAGTTATTATTCCTATTCTTTATCAAAAGGTGTGATTCTGAGTCTTAAAGTGTATAAGACAATTTAACCATAAAGCTAAAACACACGAAAAAATATCTGTATGTACAGAAATACTGCATTCATTTTAATTCTATTGTTAAATGTTATTACTGCTTACTACTAGGTGCAACAATCTTCAGCTGGTGGAAAGAAGAGTATCTTTGCTCTTCAGATTGCAGCTCAGAGACTCAAGGAGGGAAAGACACCTTTACATTTTGCACCTAAAGCTCCCCACACACCTGAACACAGAGAGCAGAACCTGCAGCCTGAGAGCAGCATGGATACAGATGATAGTAAGTAAATGTGATTCATATCATAAAGTGATGTTGGTTTTTGATGTGGGATCCTCAGGTGGTCAGTTGAATGGATCCCAGGGAAATACAGAAACAAAATGACAAAATGACCGCAGCATCCTGGCAAGGACAAGAAGATTCGGAGACAGTTTCTTCCCGCGGGCAGTGAGACTGTTAAAAAATTGAACTGTTGAAACAACATCAAACATTCATCTGCTACTCAGTAGTATGTATCTAATACCTAATATATATATCATTCCAATAACTTGTATATAGACTCGTACTGCACTATTCCACATCATAACTTTATTTCATTTTTATAACTATTATTATTTTTGTATTGCTCATGCTCTTATTGTTATTATGTTGCATTGTTGGAGAAGCCTGTGACATAAGATTTTCAACTGCATAATTACTCTGTAGCTATGTCAGATTGACAATAAAGAACCTTGAACCTTGAACCTTGAACACAAACATGGCTCTAGCACAGTGGTTCCCAAACGGTGTGCCGCGGCACACTGGTGTGCCGTGAGGCAAGTCCGGGTGTGCCGTGGGATTTTGTGACAACCATACGTTATTATTGCAATATACAACTACACAAAAATAATTATTTTTTAATTTACTATATCAGTACTTTGTATGCACTCATTTCATAATACAGAGGCAAACTCTATACCTAAAAACAATTCTTTAAAAAAAAATCCTCACAGAACCCCATATTTCGCTGTTAACGCAGTTGCAGGTGGGAATTATGGCACTGCAGGCGAGCGGCAGATTTTCCCTACAAATAGACGAATCTACTGACATAAGTGGGGCTGCCCAACTTCTGGCAAACGTCAGATATGTTGATGCTGACTCTATCAAAGAGACGTTTTTCTTTTGCAAAGAAATGGAAAGCCATACTACGGGAGAAGAAATATTCAGGGTAACTAATAACTATTTAAAAGAGAACAGTCTGACCTGGAATATGTGCGTCAGTCTTTGCACAGATGGTGCGGCAAGCATGACGGGGAGAGTGAAAGGATTTATTGCTAAGGTGAGAGCACAAAACCCACATATCGTGACAAACCACTGCATTTTGCATAGAGAGGCATTAGTTGCCAAAACCATGCCCCCGGAGTTGACTGAGGTGCTGAATCAGGCTGTGCAGATGGTGAATTACATCAAATCAAGGCCCCTGAAATCTCGCCTCTTCTCCCAGCTGTGCGCCGAGATGGGAGCCGACCACCAAAGCCTGATCCTCCACAATTTTTTATTTTGTGACCTGTCTGGTTTAAATGAGTGTGTTGCTGCTTTGATGAAGCCTAATTTGATAAAGTTTCAAATTAATTTCTGAAATATTTCGTTAATAAATATTTCATGAGTAATATAGTTGTCTTTGTCACATTTTATTTGGCATTAGTAAATAATTATGCACATTTACAGATATTTTACATGATATGAGTGATAACACGTGTTATAAGGGCTATAAGGTGTGCCTTGAGATTTTTACTTGTCCTTTGGTGTGCCTTGGGCACAAAAAGTTTGGGAACCACTGCTCTAGCATATAGAGCCATGTTCAATTTGAATTCCTCTCTCTCCTTCCTATTCAACAGAGCCAGCTGCATCCTCAGGTCCCAGCCTGCTCTCTGGTAAGGGGCTCGGGGTCCCAGACAGCTCAGGAGAGACGATGAGGATCCACAGGGAGAACCAGGAGAAGCTCCAGGCCATGTCCAAGTCTGAGATACTACAGGAGCAGAAGAGACTTTTAACTCAGCTCGGTAGGCAATGATGTTGTCCACATGATAGTTAAATAAAATAATATACAGTATGCTGTGATGAAGACATGATATGTTGTTGAGTTTATATCCTATCTAGTAAAATACACGAGAACTTTCTTTCTTCTTTTTGTTGGTACTTCTTCTTTTAACAAGATTATTTCCGCTTCCCAGATCCTACACTGGTGAACTTTGTTAGGTCTCGAAAAGCCAAGAGCGTCCCGTCCTCTGCCTCCGCATCCGAAAAACAACCCCAGGGCAAAAGCAGCAGGGACAATTTTCCTCTTGAAAATCTGAGCAGAGAGTCAGACTCCTTCAGCGCATCTCTGCCTCTTCAGAAACCCCAGGAAGTAGAGATGGAAGGAGATGAAGTGCCACCACAACCACCACCTGCTGTGAGAGGTATGATGGATTCAAAACCTTTTCATCTGGTCAGTTGTTCCTGATCCCCTGCCGCTGCTGGAGATATAAATAAATAAAGTATGTGGATGACTATGCTATATCATATTTCATATTACGTCCATCCTACTTATCGCCTATTTAATTTACTGTGGTGTAATAGAATGAGAACATTAGCTTCAAACCTTTTTCACTTTACATATTGAACATTTTCATCTCCCTCCCAGTGTATCTCCAAAAATTATGATTTTAAAGGTTAATGACACACTAAAGGGGGAAGTTTTCCATTACGTGTTCTCTTACTTATTAAGCTAAATAAACCATTTAAAACCCCTCTTAGATCAGCTGGAATAATCATCGTCACAAAGCTCAAAAGCTTTTTTTCTCTGACATTTCACAGATCCGTGGTTCACAGACAGGGTGCAAAAATACCTTTTAGTCCATTGGCCAAATGACTCGTGAATATTCAAGAATATTTGAAATTATTACCTTGTTGCTTAGACATTCAAATGATTCAATCAGTAGCATATTTTGAGGAAAAAGTCTTGAATGTCATCAGACCATCACATCTGTCTGCCTTCATCTCCCTCTTCTCTCACTCACCTGATGCTCCCTGCTCTCCCTCTCCTCTTCCTCTCAAGCATCCCTTCTCTGATCGTATAATTAATGTGTGATGATTCTGCTGCATGGATACAATCCCGACATTAAGCTGGTCATTGACTTCACTTTGTGTGATTAGCAGAAAGGCCGGACTGAGCCAGAAGTAGCCACTCACTGCAATTAAGTTACTGCAGATCATTCAAAGAAAACTCCCAGCTCAGTGTTCCTCATGGAGTTTTTATCATCTTTTGTCCACCTCATCTTGTTTTTAAATTAAGCCTTAGTTGATCTAGTTGTCAGGTCTTTATTCTTGCAACAAAAAAATATATACATGCAGGATTGTTTTCTTCCACCTTGAACATTTTCTTGCTTTTAATGAGAGATAGTTTTTGTCCGTATTGATCTGTTGTGACATGTGTGGTCTCCCCAGAATTAATATTTGTGTATTAAAGCAGATTTACTTCAACTGGAAAATAGAAACATCTGCACCCCTACTGAAAATGTATCCATGTGTCTATGTCTTCAGAAGCAAGCACATGTGCTGTTCTTGTGGTTTCATATAGTCAGTAATCACTAGTTTGTGTTTACAGTTGTAAAGTAGTGGGAGTTCTCTATCTGTGCTGGCTAAAACAGTCGACAGTTGTACCAAATTAAACTTCACACATGATTGCTAAGACTTGCTGTTTCCTTCTCCGTGTGAATCTAGAGCAGGATCTGCTGCTGAAGCCTCAGAAGACATGGGTCCACATGGATAAGGCGGAACCGGAGAAGCTGGAGTGGATGAAAGACTTGCCTGCACCCAGAAGGAAAGGAACCAAGAAGGTGCAGAGATATTTCTTACAATACCAGTAGATAACATTTTTATTGATTTCAATTCAAATCTTGTATTTAAATACGATTTTCTGCATTGAGTCAACACATTGTGTGTTTCTGTTTCCGGATGCAGGCCATGCAAGCTCGGTTTGACTTTGCAGGGACTGTGATTCCACCAACGCAGGATCTGCCCACTCATTTGGGCCTGCACCACCACGGAGAGGAGCCTGATGTCAGTAGAGAATACATAAAAAACTATTTTATAAAATATATAGAACATCTTTAGGTCTATTCACGATGTTCCTTTGTATTTAAGATAGCTTTTAAGAAACTCAATAGAAGCTCAAATGTAAACAAACATATTTGGATCAGCCATAGTGATTTGCTTATGTCTATTTTCTAATGTAAAATATTGAATACATTTTCTAGTTATTATTTAGGTCGTTTCACTGTGACAGCCCAAAATATCTTTGAAAAAGGGAAGCGGTATCTAGACTAAAAACCTAATTAATGTTAAAGGTTATCTTTTAAGATGAGGCTCCAGGTATTTTCTTTAAAGTATTTGTACTCTAACATTGGTGACTTCTCCTCAGCGGGCAGGTTACTCCCTGCAGGAGCTCTTCCTGCTGTCTCGGAGCCAGCTGATCCAGCAGAGGACTCTAGCCATTAGCACTCTGGCTAACATCCTCTCAAAGGTACACAAACAAACACACACACTGTTGCTGCAGAGGCACATTACTTTAGTTACTCATGTGAGTTCATTTCTTCCTCTGTAGGCCCGTGCCGGGGAGTACCTGTCTGTCCTGAAAGGCAGCATGGTGTCCACTCTGCTCGACGCCGGGCTGCTCTTCCTGCTGCGCTTCGCCCTGGACGACGGTGTGGAGGGAGCGATGTCTGCAGCTGTGCATGCACTCAAAGCTCTTCTTGTCTGTGAAGAGGATGAAGTAAGGCAACCTGAAAGTATTACAGTCTGTCATTAACCTTTGTGCACCACTTGGGACACTTTTGGCTTTTCTGAATTATAAATGTGTTTCTCATTGTGACTGTGTTAATGCATTTGGGCATAGATTTTGGCAAGGATATTACCTTTTTCTTTCCTCAGAATTATGAAAGCTCCTATAACAAAACCATGCAGCCAAAACACAGACACTCAAACCCTAAACATCTAATTTTACATCAGTTTTTTGACACAGACATTTTTAATTAAGGTGTTCAGAACAACTTTTCTGGATGCACATTGAATAACATTTAGTATTTTTTCATATTATTGTATCATTTAATTTGCAAATAGTCACCTAGGCCTACAGTAAGTCTGATTAGGAAGTGATTGTGCAGAGTGCAAGATCACGGTAAAGTTTTTCACAAACTATGCCAGAAAAGTAAACAATTGTTTGTTGAAGAGATGATAGACTTTGGTTGTCTGTTAAAGTTATTTTTATAAGATTCTTCCAGTCCTTTTTGTTCATTTCTAAACCCTGCCCTCTCAGGAGTGTTTGGACTGCACCTTCTCCTGGTTCCGCGGCCTGGCCTCCTTCCCTCTGCTGCCATCTACTCAGGAGGAGGAAGAAGAGGAAGATGCAGGGCTGCCAGAAAATATGAAGTTCACAGCTAAGGAGAGGGAGGAGAGGAAGAACGATCATGATGTCGCAAGGCAGGATGTTGTCAAGGTAAACATGTCTTTGGCTTCTCAGATGTGCTACATATTGTAAATGTTAAAAAGTTCTCTACATTAAGTTTGGATGATTATTTCTGTGATTCCTATCTGTGTTTCAGGGCCTGCTGAAGATGAAACTCCTCCCGAGGCTGCGTTACATCCTTGAGGTGGTCCGACCGTCTCCTCCTGTGGTCCAGAACGTCCTGCAGATCCTGACTCGTATCGCCAGGCACTCCTCTTCATCTTCCACCCAGGTAAAAACCAGCCACTTATAGAATAATACAAAATAAATATTGTGCATAAGGAGGACTGTTACAATAAGTCCCACCTTGGCTATATTCGAACATTCATAGCACCCAAACATTGCCAGATTCAATAAAATGTATTTCCCTCTCAGGTGCTCAACTGTCCTCGCTTGATGGAGACGGTGCTGTCAGAGTTCCTTCCCTCTTCCTGGACCACGCCATCTTCTCCTCTTCCTCAGTCTGTTTACGGACTCCCACTGGCCAGTGCCATGAAGCTGTTGCGAGTATTAGCTACCTCTGGCAGACATGCCTGTGCCAGACTGGTAAGGACAGCTGTGGAATTTATTAGGGCAGAACAGTATAATGGACTGATTATTTATTAGACTAACTTTGTTTTAGTAGTTGTTTTGCTTACTTGATTAACTGTGTCAATACTGCTAATGCCTTGCACATATGAAAGTATCAAGTGATGTGGGAATAATGGAGACACCTTTCTCTATTGATCATGCCAGTGGCATAACTATCGACGGTGCAGCTGCATTTATAATGTACAGCAAACCAAAGCACAAGAGTGGCGCTCAAAAGAGAAAGGACAAGAGAGAGTGTATGTCCGTGCCTGTGTGAGCGCATCAGCGTGCGCTTATGTTTGGGGCGATGGGGGGGGGGGGCCTCAAAACAATATTTGCACCGGGGCCAATCACAACCTTGCTACGCCACCGGATCATGCTCAAGTCATTTGTTTTGCATAGTACCGTATGTGCATGGGTCTGAAATCTAACATCTGGGATCACTTATAGTTGTGACCATCTGTAAAATGCAAAAATCACAATTAGTGTTGAGTATAAAATAAGAATACTATGAAATACTGCTCTTCATTTGCATGTTTGTGACCTCTGATCACACACGATAAGTACCAATGTCCAATTTCGAATTATTCCACTATTCCCACATGTATAAGTATTCTTGGCGCACATTTCTCTCTTCCTCCAGTTCAACTATTTTGGTGTGAAGGAGCGTCTGCCTTGCCTGCTGAGTGTGGACCCCAGTGAGCTGCTGCTGGACCCAGCCGAGGCACTCAGGATCACCACAGAGGCCCTCAGGCTGTGGGCTGTGGCAGCCGGCTATGGCCAGGCCTGCAAACTATACATGCGAGTACACACATTCAAGCTGAGGGTTAAACTCAGAAAAGGGAATGTTCTGACTCTCAATGAAGACAGAAATGATAAAAGAAGAAGTTTTGATGGCGTTGTGAAGAAGCGTGGGATCATGGGAGTTGCAGTAAATTGAAGTCAGCTTCTCCTCACATAATTATTTGCAGTTACTATCAACCAAACAGAGACGCTAACTAAAACTGTTAAAAACAAGGAATACATTTGCAACCAGGTATTTCTCCAACACTGCTCGCCTATTTTTCTGACCATTTAAAGATCACCTATTTTAGCTAAATCCACTTTTTCATGTCTTTTATACATAAATATGTGTCCCTTCTGAGTAAAGACATTCTGAAAGTTTAATGAAAAAATATTCTCTCACTTTTTGTCCTGATCCATTTCTATAAAAACCTGTCTGAAAATGAGCTGATCAGATTTTGGCCACTTTATGATGTCATAACGATTTTTTGGCTTGTGTAACCATTAGCCAATCACCAACCAAGGTAACACCCGCCCACCTTATCACCTGAATCTCCTCCTAGAGCACCATTGTGTTTTTTTTTAACCAAATATCTCTGAGGGGCGTGGGGAGTGGCTCCTTATTTAATTAACAGACCCAGAATCAGCACTTTTGAAACAGGGCTGAAACAGAGGGGTTTATGGGATGCTACAAAGCATGATCTGTTTTGGTATTTCGAGTCAAACATTTCAGAGACACGTTTTGTATATAACTGAGAACTATAATATATTGATGAAAAAGAGTTAAATAGGGGACCTTTAAGATTGACACCCCATAGTCCTCTCTTCTGCTCTTCTCTCAAAGTGCTCATCTTTCATGGCTGTACTGTCCTTGTGTTCCCACAGAGATCTGTATCCAAGCTTAGCGAAGTCGTTACAGTCGTTTCACAAAGTCCTGGCCCCCTCAGACCCTCTCCTGCCGCTGCAGCTCCCGAGGGTCCTGGCTCTGCTCTGTCTGCTCACACAGGTCACACACACCGCCGGCTGCCACCAGGAGCTGCAGGCCGGCATGGTCAGGTACGGAGGAGGATTAAAGAGGGTTTTATAAAATCTTTACACAACTTGAATCCCTTTTTATCCACATGTTATGCTTTCTGTTTAGCTCCCAGGGAGAAGAGTGCCCCCCTCCTCCTCCAGTGACTTGGGGTCATGTCACAGGGTTGCAGGCATCCTTGTTGGGACATCTGAAGGGTTTTGTGAAGAGCCTTGATAACCCTGTTCAGCAGGAGAGCAGCCTGGCAGTGATACCAGCTTACCTGACCTACCTAGAGGCTTACTACCATCAACTCTCCAGACAGGTACCACTCACTGCCGCGTTTGGGCATTTCATAGTTAATGTTTGATCATAAAAGTACAGTTGAATGAACATAGTTTCATTATGTTAATGTGTGCTGAAAGTAAAAAATAATTGCATTAAGCCATGAAAATTGCAAATCAGTGCATCTCTGTTTGTTATACCAAGAACAATTTTGAAAATTGATAGGACATTGAATTCACAACTATATTTGAGGAAATCTATCAATATCAACATGGATGAACTTTGCAAAGCTCCATTAAGTACATAACAAATGGAACACAAATAATCATTAGATTTGTTGTGCCAACAAAATGTAACAAAGGACAGTAAATGCAAAATGTGAAGCAAATGTTTTAACTAACATGAGTTCATTACTCTTTCTCAGAGCTGTTTCAAGCCAGTAGACACTCTTCAGGAGCTGGAGCGTCTGACGTCTGAGGTTCTCCTCCCGCTGCTGTCCCACCATGCTGTTCAGAGACTGGTGAAGAACCTAAAGTATGTCTGAATTACCGTGAGACCGGCAAAGCCATTATAGCTCTTGTTGATATTTTTTGTATTGTCCCTTACTGACAATATAGATGGAAATGTTCACAGTACTGTCTCAGAGTTCATTTGTTGACAGCTTTTTCTATTGTTATTCACTTTATTCTCTTTTTTATACACCAGGTCTTCCTCAGTAGTGTGTAATGATCAGTCCAGTCCTCCGGGCCCGGAGCTGACTCCCAGCCTCCCTGGTTTGGCGTGCCCAGGATGGAGGGACCGCCCGGGGCTCGTTGCTCCCAGCTCCCCCTTCCCCCTCCTCACAGGCCTGGGGCTGCTGCTGGAAACCATCACAGGCATCCACAAAGGCCTCAGCTGCAAGGTAAAGTTTAATCACTTCAGTATTTTTTTTAATGATAGGACAGGGACAAACCACAAGCGCCACGAAAAACAGAACATGATGTTTTCTTTTATACCAATAAAGGCTTTGTTTGCCTTCTCTTGGCAGTGCGCATGTTGTTCTATCACTGAGCCAGGAACAAGTCATGTTGAATCTATTTATTTAACCCCATACAAGACTCTCTGTCCTTTTTCAACCCTTGCCTCGGATAAGCAAGAACTCTCTCACACAAACCCACAAATATGCAGGAACCTTTAAGTTACTTAATATATTTTGCTGCCCTCTTGTGGTGAAATAGACAAAGTCCCATGTAGTTAATCTAATGTTTTCCCTTTTCTATGTTTGACTTTCTCTCCCTCTTTGTAGTTCGCTGCTCTCCTCCTGTCAGAGCCTGTGGTTGGTTACCTGCGTTGTTGCAGCCAGGCCAAGCCCACCCTGTCTCACACCGGAGCCTGGCTCCTCCGTCATGAACACCACCTCCTCTACCTGCTGCTGCAGCTGGCGCACAGACTGGTAGGCTTCACCTTGGATCAGAAACAGTCTTGTGATACATCGAGTTTAGTCTCTGTTGCATTGTCTTCTGTGACCAACTGCCAATGTTTCAGGTTGTGGTGGTTTCTGTCATATACCAAATCCAGGTCCTAATATTAATGGCTCATAACACTTCCTTATTTTTGTCTCTGTTTTTGTGCAGAATATTTTAATCAATTTCATATTTGCCACATAACATTATTTCCTATTGTGAGACATTAATCCATTATCAGGAATTGATAGGGGAATCAGAATAGATTAAAAAAGAATTAAGGATAATTTATTGTAACAAACGGTTGCACAACGAAATGCAGTTTTAGTCCATTTATTCTACACAAAAAATCAAGACATGCCTAAACAAATTAATAACATGCATTTGTTTTTCATTTGCATAATAATAGCATGACTAAATTGAGTATTTATTCAATATATGATAATATTAATTACTATCAGCCATCAAGACTCATACTAACAGGCTTATCAGTCAGTGTGATACAAGTTCCAAATGGATCCTACACTGAGGCCTTATTCCTCTTTCTGTTATTCATCCTGTGAAGCATTTACTATTATGGGCTGTTTTCATCAACTCTTTTTTTATAAATTCTGGTTATTTGGGTGATTTCCAGTATCCAAGTTTTGTCCTAGCAGCCTCTGAGATGCCTAACATGATTGCTGAAAATGTTCCACTTGATTATTTATGTATTTGGGGTCTGTCCCATAATAGACGTAGTGTCCGAGAGACTTCACATCAAAATGCTCAAGTTCTATAATTGTTCCCCAGAAGGGATGGACTCATGGGCTTTCCCAAACCGTGTATGAAAATGCCTGTGTCTTTCTGACATTTCCAACACATACAGTATTTATGTTGATTAAATCTATTTTATTGAGTCTTGCTGGTGTCCAATAATATCTTCGCATTGTTTTCCTAATTGGATAATTTTCCGTTGAACTTTCCCTTATGTATTATTGTTTATTATTGTTTATTATTTTTTGCCATTTCCCTTGCCCTTTTACAGACCCGACTGTAACTCTTTCTCCCACAATATTTTAAGGTTCTTACAGTCATTGCTCAACAGTTGGTTGGTCTGTTTTGTAAAATATAGAAGCATGTGTGTAGAAGTCTTAACTTCTATCATTAGGTTGAATCCTCAAGGTCATACACCTCCTGATCTGAACAGATGAATTAGATTATATTTTCAGAGTAAGACACAAACACACCAGCTTCATATAAATCAGCAAAAGAACATATCCCATTAAGATGCCTCTTCTTCATATATGCTTGCACTGCTTACCCCATGCTAATCATAATGTTTTGCCACAAGGTAGAATACAATTTAACAACAAAAACAATGTAATGCTTCTTTACAGTGTATGTATTCTGGTCCAGATTGCTTTGGAGTGAGACTTGATGGGATTCAATACATTATGTGAACACTTATGAACAACTAAATCAAAATGATAACTTTAACTGATTATTTATGTTCGAGTGTTATTGCTATTGTTATTGCTATTTGGGCCATTTTTAATAGAAATCCAGTATAATCATGAGTCTTGTAACCCTAGACGTTCTTGACCCTAGGAAAACACATTTTACACACTTAAACCCTGGGGTTTTCCCCTCCTATGAAAAGATAAAGATCTGTGGAGATACAGTAAGTGTTAATATCATAAGTATGTAATTGAATTTTGGTGCAACCACCATTTTTATCACATTAACCATCCCCCATAGTGTGAGCATAGTTGTCCCGCCACTTATCGAAATGAATTTCATTTTGTTTTGTAGCACTGGTTCAGAATGTAATGTAGGTATGCCTTCCACATTCCAGCTTTGTTTAATTCCAAAGTGTTTCATGTAAGATTGTATTTTGGACAATTCTGATCTTTTCACCTCATAAAACATTGATTTCTTTCAGGTGTCCATTGACCCAGAAGTAGCCAAGTACGCCTCGCTGTACCACCAGGTGGCGCTGGTTCTGCTGCCCTGGTTGTTACCTGGCAGTGAATATCTGGGACATGAACTGCTGTCCACCATCATCTTCAGCAAGGACTTTATATCGTAAGCTTACATTTACTTTACTTAGTTTGAACACTATCAAACCAAACAGCCTCTTCTGTTGTGATTGTATATAATACATCTCGTCCAAAGTATTGCCAAATGCTGGAAAAATACGGCAGATTATTTTTTCATATTCATAGTTTCAGGTAAAATGAGACTGAGGGGATATTTGCAGTGTTACAGTAGCAAAGAAGAGTACAACAACAAGAGGCATTAGGAAACATAAACAAGATATGATAAATAAGTAAAGAGTAAAAAGCTAAATATGGAAGGGGAGATTTTAATCAAGCAGGTTATCATTGCAAAGTGAACCCAGGCAGGGCGAACCGCTACACCAGATTACTGCCTAATAGAGGGCTACTCTTTAAACAAATCACTCATTTGAAACAAAAGATTGATTTGTAGTGGATTTGATTGATTATAAAAGCATTTTAACAATTCTGATTGGTGTAAAAATGACCAATCAAAATCAACTCCTTAACACAACTTTGTAATATAATAATATAAGTAGGTAGACAGACAGAACTTTGGAATGATTAAAATAGGAGAATGGTCCATTTCCACCAAAAGTGAAGTTCCTCCACAGTACACTCAGTTTATATGAATGTGTTTGCTTTCCAGTGAGGGCCACAGCGGAGGACCTGAGGCCGTGGAGCTGGGGGAGCTGAAGCTCCAGGAGGAGACACACAGCTCCTCCCCCTCACTGCAGACCGTCGGAGCTCTGCTGAGAGAGGCCTGCGTCCAGCTGCCCTCCATCCGAGGCTGCTTCCTCACTCAGCTGGCGTACCTGGAGTCGTCCGTGCTGACGTCCCGGGACGCTCTCCTCGGCCGCAGCCCCTGGATCAGCTCCCACCTCCTCCCTGAGCTCACCGGTCCCACCGTGCCATCTGATTGGCCCTACCTCCCACTCGTCAGCCTGTATGAGCGGACAGGGTCTTCGGACGGTGGAGGGTTGGGGGTGGAGGAACTCCCTCAGTGGGCTCTGCAGGCCGTGACCCACTGTCTGCAGTGGCTGCTGCTGCTGGAGGTCTGGAGGGAGGAGGCACTGAAGGTACAGACTGACAGCCTCTTCACTCTGACACCTCTCTGTCATGCATGTACATGTGTGCACCTATACCTGTATTCCAATGCATGTGTTTATTCGTACTGTTAGTGTATTCAAAATATCTATAAACAGAGTGGAAAACTGATTTTCCCCTGGGAGATCAATAAAAGTTCATCTTAATGTTTATCTTAAGTCAAATATGTCAATTGTATTCTATTTAAAACATTTTTTTATTACAATGCTATGCTAGCTATGCAAAAAGCAATGCCCAGTATCCCATTTAAAGTTACTTAATTTTCTGAAGCTTGATGGAGTTGGTGACTTCCAGTCTTTGAGAAGTACTTGTATTTGTATAGATTGATTAATCAAATATAATTGTGAATTTTTGCCCAAATAATAATATTCCTTCATGTATAAAAACTTCTAATCAATAATACAGATCATGTTGTAGTCAAGCATCTCTTCTGGTGGGTGTATATTGTTATAGTATCTAACCTCCAGAACATTTTATCATGTTGCAGGTGATACCTCCTGTGGCCAAGCTCGCCCGCCTGTCCTGTGTGTTCCTGTGTTCCAGTGACCTGTTCCTGGAGAGACCTGTGCAGAAACTGACCTGGGGTCTGTTCAGGCTCCTGACCAGGTCTGAACATGTTTGACATCCTTTGTTCTTTCCTTGCAAAACCTACATTTAGCACAGAGAACAGAGTTAAAACAAATCTCTTCCATTATCAGGCGATCCAGGCTGGACTCTTTGGACCTGGACGTCCCTCCTCCGGGTCTCGCCTCCTTCCAAGACCTGTACACGGCTCTTCTGACCCAGTACGAGGCCGTGTCCTTTGGAGACCGGCTCTTCGGCTGCTGGTTGCTCTTACCCCTGCAGAGGAGGTACAGCGCCACCATGAGGCTGGCTGTGTTCGGGGAACATGTGGGAATGCTGAGGTCCCTGGGAGTCACACTGGAACAGGTAATGATGAGGAGGCTTTTTCATGGGCTTTCACAATTTCAACACAAACGTTCTATGATTATTTAACTTTTGATTTGGAACAATTACTTATCTCTCTGTGTCTTGATTCGTAGCTCTCCATCCCTATCGAGCGGTTCACCTCTCCCCCTGAGGACTCCCTCCCTCTCCTCAATCTCTACTTCCGCTCTCTGGTCACGGGGACCCTGAAGCCCCGCTGGTGTCCGCTCTTATACGTGGTTACCTTGTCTCACGTCAACTCCTTCATCTTCTCTCAGGACGCTGCAGCACAGGTAGAGCAGTGTATAGCAAACAGGCCAAACCAGATGAAGTCTGCTTGTCTATCAACTGAATAACGGAAAAAATGACTTGCTCAGTTTACTTGAAACTTGTTAGAAGGCCGGAGTACTGGCAGTTGAAAAAAACCCTTACATTTTTAGAAAAGATCCAAAAAAAGCAGCAGATACAACGGTTATGTTTCACGTTCGTTAAACATTGAATGATGGCATTTGTGCTGCATTTATGAATGTCATAAACTCCCCACTGGAACATTTTACAACTCGGAAACAATAATTACCACGTTGTTTAAATCTCAGAGCAATGCATATCATTTATTTTTTTTGTAGTGTCCATGTTGTCTCCTCACTACGACATGAAGCTCAAAGCAGATTAGAAACGGGCTATTTGAGGAGCCTGTGAATGCACCATTGGCCTTGGATATCTGGTTTATGTTTTGTGGCTTTTTTAAATCAACCAAAGGGAAACCTGGGGCAAACTGCCACACATTTATTTTTTTAGCAAATCCAGAACATGCACTGAATAGGAAATTTGATTATTGGGAAGTGTTAAATGGTTTTATGGGGATTTGTGCACATTTTATGCACAAGAGAAAATAAGCTAGCTGATTTTACGTGTCATGTGTTATTGATAAACTGTCAAAGGAGCAACCTCCGAGTTGGTCTCACTTCACTTGGCACCTCAATATTCCTAATTGTGGATATAAGTCATGGTATGTGAGTTTTATTTTTGAACACCTTAGAGTAAGAAACACATTCAGTGAGTCCAACTGTTTAAAAAGACAGTGTTTTTGAGCAGTTTAGCTGAAAGCGCAAATGCATGCAGGTGTGGAGTTTGTAAAGTAAACACAGAGACGTGCGTCAGGGCAGAACATCAATGAAGCCTTTCATCTATTAATCCCTTCGTCTCTTTTACAGGAGGTTGAAGCCGCACGTCAAAGCATGCTGAGGAAGATCTACTACCTGACAGATGAGGTACATTTTCTGCTTTTTTTGTTATTGCAATCAACAGATTTTTCTATCTGGCTGTCTCTGAGGCTGCGGGGTGTTTATTGAGTGTACCGACTCTTCTTTTCACCTCTGATGATGTTTTCTCTACAATCCTCTTGTTTTTCCCCGTTATCACGACCAATTCAAGTCACTTTTAATGATCAGCATGCCACTTGAAGTCCTTTTCATTCTCTTTGTCTCATTTCCAGGTGTTGAGGAGCCACTTGCTTCTCTTCCGTCTGCCGCAACTGAACTCAGAGTTTGGCTTCGATATGTTCGAGCAGTTGCCTCCCATTAGAGCAAAACGTCTGGAGAGCATCCTCAGACTGCAGATCGGCAGCGATGACAAAGGTGACAGAAGGCAGTAGGCAGTGAAAAAATAAAAATAGTAGTGAGCCAAAAACAGATCCAGAGAAGGGACAGTATGGGACTGTCAGGAAACCAAAGGAGAGACTAAGAGAAACACGAGTAAGAGAAAGAGTGAGACATTCAAGAGACAAAATGTCGACCATAACATTTTCTGTGGCCTCTTTTCTCAGAGAAAACCTAATCTGAGGTAGATTTGGCCTGCTCGCAATGTTTAGCACTTATTTGAACCTGCTACACACATAACAAGGTTAGATTTCACAATCTAAGACTATATTTTACAGACCATCTGTTGAAATTGTCTGTTAAAGTTTGTCATGTTATCTGAGGTTACATGAACGCATCTGAACTAAATGTTAAAAATGAAGTGCAGATGCAGCGAGGCTCAGGTTTTCATCTTTTCCTCTAATACCTTTCCTCTTAGCAGACTGGGGGGATTACATGTTGAGATATTAGCACTTTCCCAGTCAGTGTGTGTCTATTGATCTTGAAAAACAGACCAGAGTAATTCTTGGCACCTCAAAGTAAAGTGCCTGAAATGTTCTAATAAAACATTATTTCCAGTTTGTGTAATGCCTTTTTATTCTTTAATCAAAATCACAGCAAATACAGCGTATAGTAATAGAATTAAACTGAGTCTGAAGGGCCTGTTCTTTATTGACAGTCGCTCCACGAATGCAAATGCATTGATTAAAATGGGGCAGCGCACATTTTGTTTTCATTGGTATAACCAAGGTAAAATGGGGTTAAAGACCCTCCAACATCTAGAGGGGGTCTCTCGGGGATCGCTGGGACGGATTCTTCTCCGTGTCACTGATCAATCACACTCACATCACAGGTACTTCACATTTGATTTCCCTTGAAGCAGCTCCCATAAGGGGCCGGTGTGTTTCCAGTGTGTGTGCTTATACTTCCTCTGTTAGATAACACGTTCTACTGCTTCAACAACTCCTCAGAGACTGACAGAGACAACTCTTTTCTTTACTGCTGTGTATAATATTCCACCTGGAATTGGTTATTTCAGATATAACCTGAGGAGGTGAATATATTTTTGCATCAGCCTACTTATGCATTTTATAAATATTCTGAAAAATAAACTGAATTTATTTACCAGGCAACCTTGTCATTTAGGGTTTGGAGATTTTAATGGTTTATATTCAAGATTCAAAGGTTCTATTGTCATATGCACAAAGCTACAGTGTAGAAATGGCAATGAAATTCTTCTGACCTGAGCTCCTCTAATAATCCAACATATATAATAAAATACAAAAATACAAAATAAAAAGTAGTGCAAAAAGTCTATATACATGTAAATAGAATATGATATGTACAAGAACAGAATATGAAATAAAATAAAAATAAAATACGGTTTATTGCGTGGATAACTATTTATATAAATAAGTATATTGCAAGATGACAAACAGGAATGTTTATCGGGGCACTTAACAGAGCTCAGGTGTTTAACAGTCTTATGGCCTGTGGGATGAAACTGTCCCTGAGTCTGGTGATTTTAGTCCGGATGCTGCGGTAGCGCCTGCCAGACGGCAGCAGACAGAACAGTTTGTGGCTGGGGTGATGGGGGTCTTTTATAATCCTGAGGGCTTTCTTCCTGAGCCACTGGGAGTAGAGGTCCTCCATGGATGGCAGCTCCGTCCTGGCGATGTTCTGTGCAGTTTTCACAACTCTCTGTAGAGCCTTACAATTAAGGGCGGTGCAGCTGCCGTACCAGGCCGTGATGCAGCCAGTCAGGATACTCTCTATGGTGCACCTGTAGAAGGTCAGGATCCTCTCTATGGTGCACCTGTAGAAGGTCAGGATACTCTCTATCACCTGTAGAAGGTCAGGATCCTCTCTATGGTGCACCTGTAGAAGGTCAGGATCCTCTCTATGGTGCACCTGTAGAAGGTCAGGATCCTCTCTATGGTGCACCTGTAGAAGGTCAGGATCCTCTCTATGGTGCACCTGTAGAAGGTCAGGATCCTCTCTATGGTGCACCTGTAGAAGGTCAGGATGCTCTCTATGGTGCACCTGTAGAAGGTCAGGATCCCCTCTATGGTGCACCTGTAGAAGGTCAGGATCCTCTCTATGGTGCACCTGTAGAAGGTCAGGATGCTCTCTATGGTGCACTTGTAGGAGGTCAGGATCCTCTCTATGGTGCACCTGTAGAAGGTCAGGATCCTCTCTATGGTGCACCTGTAGAAGGTCAGGATGCTCTCTATGGTGCACCTGTAGAAGGTCAGGATGCTCTCTATGGTGCACCTGTAGGAGGTCAGGATCCTCTCTATGGTGCACCTGTAGAAGGTCAGGATGCTCTCTATGGTGCACTTGTAGGAGGTCAGGATCCTCTCTATGGTGCACCTGTAGAAAGTCAGGATCCTCTCTATGGTGCACCTGTAGAAGGTCAGGATGCTCTCTATGGTGCACCTGTAGAAGGTCAGGATGCTCTCTATGGTGCACCTGTAGGAGGTCAGGATCCTCTCTATTGTGCACCTGTAGAAGGTCAGGATGCTCTCTATGGTGCACCTGTAGAAGGTCAGGATGCTCTCTATGGTGCACCTGTAGGAGGTCAGGATGCTCTCTATGGTGCACCTGTAGGAGGTCAGGATCCTCTCTATGGTGCACCTGTAGAAGGTCAGGATGCTCTCTATGGTGCACCTGTAGGAGGTCAGGATCCTCTCTATGGTGCACCTGTAGAAGGTCAGGATGCTCTCTATGGTGCACCTGTAGAAGGTCAGGATGCTCTCTATGGTGCACCTGTAGGAGGTCAGGATCCTCTCTATTGTGCACCTGTAGAAGGTCAGGATGCTCTCTATGGTGCACCTGTAGAAGGTCAGGATCCTCTCTATGGTGCACCTGTAGAAGTTGCAGAGTATCCTGGAGTCCACGTTGAACCTCCTCAGCCTGCGGAGGAAGAAGAGCCGCTGTCGAGCTCTTTTGGTGATGGTGTCAGTGGCGTTTTCTCCCGGAGGCCAAGGGAAGCCAGGCTTCCCCTGTTTTTTCGGATTGTAGTTATAATTTAAATAAATAAATAAAAACACTGTTTTGTTTCGATAATTCTCCTTTGCTGCTGCCGGCCCGTCTCTCCCCCACTCTCATTGAGTATTTTACAAAGAGTGAAACAATCAGCGCCCCTCTAGATGTTATGGTGAAACAGTAGATTGCATTCACTGTTGCGAGAGAAGGCCAGTCAGTTTGGGCTTCCCTTGGTGAAAAAAATTGAGGGATTGACCAATCAGATGAGGCCCACGTGATGCCCCTGCCAACCTGTGATTGGTCAGGGCCATGCCAAGGGAAGCCAGCTGCTTCTGGCTTCCCTTCAGAGGCGGCTGGCGATTTCACCTGAATAGATGAGATTGTTTATATTTTTTAGTTACTTTTGGACTACGGACTGAGCTAATTACAGAGACGAGGACTGTTGCTGCACTTGCCGTGTGTTAGAAAGGGAAAGGAAGAGAAGGTGGACTATCCCATGCAAATGTTTCTGTACATAATTGTTTTTGAATTCATGTGTTTCATACACGCCTACTGATACTTTGATGTGTACATAAAACTTTAAAGGTCTCCTGATTTACTTTGTGAATGAATGCACTGCGCATTGAGCGGCTGGTATTGCATTTGGGGGGGGGGGTGTGTCTGCATAAATTAATAAGAAAATGCTTAAATGAATAAAACGAGAGTTTCGGCTGGAGAGTGCGTGCGGACCTGTCGGTTAGATAACAGGCGTGTGCAAGTCCTGCATCTGTGTGATACAAATGTGTGTAAAATGATACCGGGCGCTGTAATCACTCATCTGGTTACGTTATTGACCACCCCCCCCCCCCCCCCCAACCAACCAACCAACCCAAAAAAATGGGCTTCCCCTACATTTTTCCCCATGCCACGCTACTGGATGGTGTTAGTGTGATGACTTCATGTCAGGTCCTCAGTGATGTGGACCCCGAGGAACCTGAAGCTGCTGACTCTCTCCACAGTAGTCTCATTGATGGCGATGGGGGGCGTGTCCCTCTCTCTGCTAATTCCTGTAATCCACAATCAGCTCCTTGGTTTTGCTGACGTAGAGATGGAGGTTGTTATCCTGGCACCAAGATGTCAGGTTTTCGACCTCCTCTCTGTACGCTGTATATAATTATACAAATTGGCCTTTATCAGACATCTATACATCGTTGACACTATCGGCCAATTAATACACTGATATAATCTGAAAAGAGGGAAAATCCAGTACACAACTGTTTCAATGAGGTTATTCCAATGGATTAGTTCACATGTACATCATTACAAATCTGTTTTTATTTTATTGTGGTTAGAGAACATTCCCACCACTGCTGATTAACAAAAGTGAAACCCTTCATGGTTTGCACAGAACCGAAGCTGATTGCAGCTTGGCAGCAGGTCCACATTCTTTGGAAGTGTTTTCACCCATTTCAAGTTATGTCACTGATTCTAGTATAATAAGACAACAATAAGACTAAGTAATCCTCACAAAATAATTTAACGTGCAAAAACCTTGACTTGTTCAAATGTAGCTCTTTAAATGCTTTATAGCAGAACACCTCGGCGTGGTTTTAATGCAGCTGTAAAAATCTCCACATCTCTCTCCTTAAACCTGCTCCGGTTTAAATTTAGGAACCGTTTTTTGGACTGAGATCAGTCTATTCAAGTTATTGAAGGCTCACTGAAATTTCACAATAGATTACATTTGTACAGTTATTTACCTTGTTTTGATCTGTGGAGCTGATTCAGGTGGAGTCCAGCTCATAATGAGCAGGAGGTTTTATGATCCAGGGAGGAAAAACATCCTTCTGGCACTGAAGTTTAATATAAAAGCAATGCGAAGACAACATTCAGGTTGTGGTCTCAAATACATTTGAATTGTCTTTATCTTCATTACGGTTGTCGAGGTTCATTTCTGCCTCTTGGTAAACTGATTTGTTTTCATATTTTCATTTTCACTATCATCCAAACTTTCACATTAACAGGTCAGAGGCTTGGCACCATCACCTTGATGTCATGTTGTTTATGCATTCCTTTGTTTGGAGCTCTCAGATAAACACACACTGTCCTTGTTGTGTTTCTATTTTGAAGACATAAAAAAGTCTATTGATTTATCGGCTAGATTCTTGTTCCCTGAAATTCCTTGGCATGTCATTAGCCGGTGAAACAAGGGCTTCTCCTATGGGTTTCCAGTACTCGTTCACTCCACATCTGGTCTACGTTTGGTCCCACAGAATGTTCCGTTACACAAGTGAGGAATCTGAAAACAGCCGCACATAATTTAATAGTAAAATTACCTAATGTGATTTAAAAGTTTTAAAGAAAACCTCAAGGCTAGCTATCCCTTCTCTCAATAATACAATCTCAAATCTACTGCATTCAATACTAAAGCTGCTTTTTTTCCCTCATTGGTTAAAACATTTAATTTAGTTCTAATATTTAATGATAAGCATAGTTTTTCTAAAATGATTACATAGATTTCTCTACGAACCTCTTCATTTGGATACCAGTAGTACAAACATTTGATTTAATAAAGGAAGAGACGGTAATCTGTGTTTTTAAGCCTCCTCTG